ATATAAAAAGAAACACGATCGTGTAAATAAAAAATTGAACAAATCTACAAGTAAAGTATAAATTAGACAAATATAAGTATACAAATATAAGAAGAATAGATTATCGTTAATATCGTCTTAGTATTGAAGAATATTTAAGATGCACTGGAATGTTTTATAGATACGTCTATTTCTGTTTCATGTATATGCGTGAACCGTTATTGAACGACAGATTCGTCCATGAACAGAGCGCGAACGAAATCGTTGTTTAGTTACGTGACCAATAGATATAAACGTTCAAATATATACATATGTAATATATATAAGTGAGGTCGCTGTACATCGTTCAATTGAACAAGTATTTACTATACGAAAAGGATGAATGAATGAACAAAAATATGATATGACATAATCATATGATTGAATACATGATATGTTGAGCATTATTTAGTGAATCATTTTCAAGAGAATTATCTAATAAATAGTTCCACTATATAGCAGAAGAAGTTTGAAAAATTAAATTTTATACGAACGAATGGAAAGTATTCTATTATTATTATCGTATTTTGTAATATTGTGTAATATTTCTATTTGACTTGATTTCTATCGTGGATAACAGAAAAAAAATTATGAACTTCTTACATGAAAACAAAATATGTACAAAAAGTACAAAAAAACATAGATTAAAACAAATACATATAGTGAATGTCCTATCATAAAAAACAGGTTACTATGTTAACAAAAAAACACTATAATAGTTCTTCATGGACGTGATCGAATTTTTCGCGAAGAATCAGTGTACGAAGCGGATTTTGTACGTTTCCTAGATGTCAAACGAGTATTACTATTGTTATTGTCAATACGTGATGAAGATGTCGTCGAAGTATCGATTGTATCAGTTGCTAATATTTGTTGTTGAGTTGATTGACTATGTTCATTATTTGTATTAGTTGAAATTGATTTTCTTTTTGTTTTCATCATCAAACATTTCGATGTTTTTATGTGCTTGTAGTAATTGCTCAAAGAAAAATTAATTCTCTCTTTTGCTAAATTTGTTCGAACTCCACAGGAACATAATATAATAGCCTCTTCAGATCCTTGATTTAAAAATAAACTTAATTTGTAGTCAGTACCTTCCATAAATTTGTCGTTTGAAAGATTTAATTTTAATTTATTCCTAAGTAACCAATCATCTAGTGCTTGAGTAAGAAAATCATAATGTTTTTTTTGATTCATTTGATCTAAATAAAAATAATAATAGTCATCAATTTTTCACGTGAGATTCACCATCAAATAATATGCGTAATTCTCATTTATATATATACATTTTTGATGGAACACATTAAATTGCTCTTTTAAAACATTTTGTCTTACTAATTCCATCAATTTTATCTCCTGATTGAGAGTATTCATTGAATGAGCCTACATTATCGATAGTAGCAACCAAACAATTTTATGTATATGAGAACTGCTTCTATAATGTTATGACTATTCTTACAAGTTTTTCTTTGACGGTGACTGATGCATAATAAATTGATTATTCCCTATAGTAAATTATTTTATCTTGTCAATAATTAATTTATTTTTCTTGTTTTTCTCGTATATTTATTTCACTGTGTTGAATATAGAGATAATTCTACCATCTTTAGGTCACAATAAATAAATGCTAATAGTTAAAAAGAAGACTAAACTTTGGTTTCATTTTATTATTATGAAAACAAGATTGCATACATTTTTAAGAGAGAAAAATAAGGAAAAAAACAAAAGAGTATGGAGATTCACTACTTGAAAACTGCACAAAATTTATGATGTTGAAGGGCAGAAATTATTCGATTTAATACTAAATTACTGAAATAAACAAAGAGCGTCTGTGACAATCCCACTAAAATTCTACTGTCATACTTAAATAATCCAGAATCAGCATAAGCACTTGCAGACAGTCCTCATTATTTCTAAAAACAACATCTACAGTTAGTATTATTGACGCTTATTTTTTCCAAAGTTACCGTGACTAAAAGTAGAACCTCTTCTGTTACTCATGGCTCCTATTACTTATTTCTTATAATAAATCTTGTATTATCCGTCCTTCATTAGCATGTTACATAGATATGTCTGAATTCAAGTCTTATAAGTGTGCAGCTGCGCTAAAACAAAATCTCATAGATTAATTATCTAAAAACTATGCGCGAAATCATATATTTTATACATAGCGAAAAATATTACAGATCACAATAGAATATATGACAGTTGTTCTAACACACAAGATTTATTATAAGAATAACATCAAAAAAAATCAAGACTGTACTTAATACTCTCTTCTAAAATATTCTAAAAA